GCTGGACTGAAAAGTTGATATGAGCCATGAGGTTGGTGGTTCAAACTCACCGGTCACTCCTCAGAAATGTGTACAGGGTCGCTATAGGTCAAATCAACTCGACGGCACTTAGCAATAACAACAATAATACTATAGGAATACTGGTGTGGTGCTATGGGCTAATGCATTAGACTGCAAGGTTAGTTTGAACCACAATACCAGCGGTTCAAATCCAACAGCCACGCTTTGGAAATCCTATACCAAGTTGCTATGGACTAGAACTGACTCAATAGCAGTTGACAGCAACATTACGGAGTCTGGAGTTGCTATGAGTCAGGACCAAATCGGCAGCATTAACAACAACAACGACAGGTGTATGAATAGTGTACACTCAGCTACTAACCTAGTACAAAGCACTGAACCTCAAGGTTGGTCTGAACCACAAGGATGCAGCTCACACTCACCGACCGTCCCTCAGAAATCCAGCACAGGGTCGCTGGGCATCGGAACCGACTCGACGGCACACAGCAACAACACTAACCTAAAGGGTGGCAGTTTGAGTCCACCCAGCAGCGCCACAAAGGAAAAGTCTGGTGATCTGCTTCCAGAAGGTTCTAGCCAAGTAAACCCGACGGAGCAATTCTACTCTGTAACACGGTCTGAGTGTGTCAACACCAACTTCACGTCAGTGATTTCATCTGATTTTCTCTTCTGACTCTGACACGAAATGGAAAATACTCGTTATTCAACCTAGAGTTCCCAATTATTTTTATTCAAATTTACTAGAAATGTGAATATATGTGGGAGTCCAGCTCTCATGGGGTCGTGGGACACGAGGGGAAATGTGGAGTCGGTGAAAATGAAAGCAATCGAGAGCCTCTGATTTGTTGGCTGGAGGGGCCCTCTCTCTGTCTGCTTGTTTTGTTTCTTGCCCAGCTCAGCAAGTCTTTATTTTTTTACTTAAAATCACACAATGCATAATGATTTGATACTTTGATTTTCCCTTGAATTATTACACATTTGTAATTGTAACATTCTTTTACCCTGTGATTACAGAACCTTAACAAAAGTATTTCTATGGTGTCCAACCTGAGCTTTCCAACATCCTGTTCTTTTCTAACCATTAAGCATTCTTCTCTCAACATTATCTCCTCTCCTAGATTGTTTCTTCTTATTCCCTCTGAAAGATCAAGTTAAACTTTACACCAATTATTTCCACTTATCAGACCTCTGATTACATCCTCTTAGTAGCTTAAGTTTCTATTAATCGTCAATGCCTACACTACTTTATTGTTTCTACTGGCTAATTGTCAATTTTCTATCCTGCATGATGTGCTACTATTTTCTATAACAAAAGAATTACTACCATCTATTCAATTATCTTGTTCTTCTGACGTTTTCAGTAAATTGCGAAACCACAGTGTTCCTGTTTCTTTTCTTTTAAGGCTGTGGGGCATGTTAAGAAAAAGGCCCAACCTGACCAATAGTTGCAAGAAGGGTAGATTATTAAGTTTTGACCACCTTTCACTTATGTTCACCATTCTCTGCCTATTCACATAGGTGCCTGTATGTACTAGTGGGGGTTTGTGAATTCTGGCTGGTAATTGATTGTGGTGAGGTTTACAGGGGTCGGTTAGCTTCACTTTAGTTTGCTATCTGCTTTTGTGATCTCATAAATGCAGTTACTTTGTACTTAGGTTTTCTGTGAATGCGAGTGGCACATACAATTCCCTTTGCATTCAATCCACCAAAGCTGAAAACAATTGTTGCCAAACCAGTTTTTCCTAAGGTTTATAGAGGCCATAGTGAAAGGCTGTGAATATGGCCATATTATATATTTTTACAAGTAAATTCAAAGTTACCCTAAAGAGAAGATAGAAAGCAACTTCTGAGAACTACCAGCCTTGCATGATATCTCTCTATCTGCTGGGACCATATCAAGCAAATGCATATTCATATTTTTAAGCATATCATTAGAATACAAAACTGAACAAGACATATTATTGTCCTTGCCCTTTCTGGTGAATAAAATATCTTCTTTTTAACTTTTTATTGTGAATTGGTTGAAGGTTTATAGGGCAGACCATCCGTTTTGCATTTAACAATTCACACACATTTGGTTTCATCTCAAGATACCACCTTCCTCAGTGTAACAACCCTCATCCCACTTGTTCCATGTCTTTACTGTTCCTGCTCCCCTTCTTCTCTAATCTTTCTGGACTTTGTCCTGGGGAACTACTGCCTTTCTTATCTCAAATGTGTGATTCTTCTAGGGTGTGATGTCATTTCCCTCAGAGATGCTATCTATTGTTTAACTGAAGCCTGAGCTCCAGGGGTGAGCTCAGTTCCAGACCTGGAGCATGGCCAAGGGCCACAGTCTCAGGGGCTCCACCCGCCTCTATCTGAGCAGTAGGCCTGGCCTTTGTGTGATTGTGAGTTCTGTTCCACATCTGTCTCCCACTCAATAGCATAGTGGTTACAAACCGGGCTGCGAATCTTAATGTCAGCAGTTCAAAACTACCAGCTGATCCATGGGAGAAAGATGAGGATTTCTGCTCCCGTAAAGATTTACAGCCTCAGAAACCCTGTACAGGGTCGCTATGAGTCGGAACCGACTCCATGGCACATAACAACAACAATATCTAGGACTTTCTCATGTGATCTCTTTCAAGTTGGTGATGGTAACCGGGAACCATGCAGTTCTTCTGGTCTCAGGGTGGTGGAAATCGATGCTTACATGGTTCATTAGTCCACTGGACTAACTGAGAAAAGATCATATTAATAGTTGAGTTGTAACTCAATATGGTAAACAACTCAAGTAAGGTATCAATGGTGGTGGTGGTGTGCCGTGGAGTCGGTTACAACTCACAGCGACCCTGTGTAGGGTTTCTGAGTGCTGCAAATCTTTATGAGGGCAGAAGGCCTCATCTTTCCCGGAGCAGCTGACAGATTCAAACTGCTTGTAATCCACTACACTTACCAGTGTTCCTTATAGCTACGTGTAATTCTTTGTACAGTGTAAGATGTTTCTATATTTTATGTTATGGGAAATTAATCGATAGCACCTCAATTATTTCATTCCATCTTTTTTTGTTTGTTTTTCAGGAACCACTTGGACACAGGAAATTGTAGATCTGATACAGAATGAGGGAGACGTTGAGAAAAGTAGACGAGCCCCCATTGCGCTTAGGCAACCTTTCTTGGAGTGGATAAGACCAACCACGTCTGGTAAATCCCAAATTTATAAAACCATAATCTTCACAGGAACATGGACAGTTTGGGAGTTAAGAGTCTGAAAGACTGGCCCACCATGGAAAAACATTTCCTTCGACTGTTGGTTTTGAATATTAGAAGAAACCTATCTATTTTCAAACAAATCTAAGTAGGTCCTATCTTTGAAATTTTTATTGACCAATTTTATTTAACAATATCCATGGCAACTTGGTCCTCCTGGATAACACCCTTTCTTCCAGAATCTATTTGTGTACAATTGACCTACAAGCAGGCGTCAAAAAGTTTGTGGAAAGATGTTTCTAAAAGATGATGGACTTTTTCCAGCAATTTTTTTGAAGTCTCCATGTATTATCTCATTTTTGAAAAATGAACGCAAGATGAAATATTCATAGCCTAAAACCAAATCCTGCACCTTGTTGCTGTTTGTTTGTGGGTGTTGAGGCATGGGAGGGAATCAGTCTAACGTGCACCATATTACCTATTGGGTCAGGAGGCGGAATCAGTCTAACACGTACCATAGTTCTAATAGCTTAATCAGTGTCCGGGTGTTGGTAGAAAGTGACGACAAATGAGGTTTAAAAGGAACGCAAGTGGGCTTTGGAGTGTTTTGTGGGCTTGTACCCTCTCAGCCCTCCATGGGCATGTTCTTGACAGTCCTCAAATCTGCTACCACAATTGTCTTTTCATTTGGATTGTGATGTTTTTCAAAATGTATGCATATTCCAGATTATCTGATTACTTTATAACGAAATCACACCACATCATTGCATTTATCTTTGTGTTAATGATCTCTTAATGCCAAAGGGTAACACTTTAACTCCTGGAAGCTCATGTGATGAGAAAAGAAAAGAAGGGCTTAGTAATCAATGCTAAAGTGGAGGCCAAAGTATCTAAGACTTAAACCTACATGAAACTGCAACTTGCACAAGACAATAGGAAAGAGCTTTTTAAAAAATCTAGTGGAAACAGCTTAGGCCATAAAAGCCAGGAACCATAGGTAAATAATAATAATAGTGTAATCTATTGCCTAAACATTAACACTTGAGAGAAATTAAAGAATAAACCAGAACAATTTTTTGCAGGAATTGACCAGGTTAAGGCTATGCCTTCCCCAAGAACCATGAAAACTCATCTTCCTGTGCAACTACTGCCACCATCCTTCTGGGAGAAAAACTGTAAGGTAAATTGGAAACAAAATCTTCTCGTGAGAACATCAGGATAATGGTATTGTGTCTGAACCTTTATCCAGTTTTCCCATGGTTATCTGCCAGGATCACAGCAAGATAGATTATGAGACTGAGGTCATTTTCCATGTTCTTAATCTTCATTCATAAGAATGTGCTCAGTGGATCCCTACACTGAGGAGAGACAGACGACTAACTAATAGGTTTCTGAGCATCGCTGCCCCTTAGGAAAGGTGGTGTATACTCGAGCACACTTCAGAAACGTTACTCACCTTACTGAATTAGGAGCACCTGACAAGTAGAAGGGATGGGCTGCTAACTCAAGTGTGCTCGACTCTCCAGCCATGAGCTCGCCACCACTACGGTGCTGTCCAGCCTCGGTCTCGCAGAACCAGGACCGCCTTTCTAAAGCCCAGTCCCAACCTCGGGGTTGTTGTTGTTGTTACTGCGGTTGAGTCAGTTCTGACTCATAATGACCCAAGGAAAGGCTGCTGTGTTTGAACTGCAGACCTTGTAGCTAGCAGTCAGTGCTTATCCTACAGCCCTATGCCAAGACCCCCCCAACCTTGCAGTGTTGCTGTGGTTGTTAAGTGCTGTCGAGTCAGTTCTGACTCATAGCGACCTTATATAGGTTTTGGAGGAGCAGCTAGTGAGTTTGAACTACAGACCTTGTAGTTCAAACCGACCTTGCAGTCCAAGGCTTTTCCTACAGCTCCAGTATTGAAATCATCAGAAGGTAGAACAGAATCTTAGCAAGCACGTGTTTCACTGTCTTCTCACTCACTGGTAGCTACATGCCCCTTTGAAGTCTGTAACAGTGCCTACAGATTCCAGCTCATTGTCATCATTTTGTAAACATCAGAATGATTTCCCAGCAGTGTGTAGATGGACTCTCAAATAATATTTTTAGGTTGTTCACTAAGGAATTAATTGTAACTCTTTCAGAAACAAATTATTGCTTAGTTTGAAGTATAGCCTGCTTACCATGAGGCTCAGAAGAGGACTCCTTGGCATGAAATGAAAATAACCCTCCCCCGCCCCTTTTGTGGAGCAGGCTGTGCCTGCTGGTGGTCTTGTAAAGGTCTGCTCTGTTCTATCCGTGGTTCTCTAGAACTAAGCCACCTTAATATCTTATCACTCCACCTTAATATTGTTCTATGTAATCTGGAGTTTAGGGCCAGAAAGAAATGGCAGAACATAATCATTTAGTGTAGATCCAGCTAGGCCTGGGGGCAATGGGGGGGGGGGGTCAGAGACAGTAAAATACAAATAATAAAAATGATCACAGCCATCTGTGAGGACCCTAATGGAGAAATGCGGAAGGTGTTACAGGAGCGAAAAGCTGGGTGCAGGACTCCTTGATCGGGAGAGTTCACAGAGGGTGACAGAGAAGATGGGTCATGAAGAATACACAGGGATTTGCCAAGTGATGAGGGAAAGAAGGAAACTTGGTGTGGCGCTGTAGGATAAGCACTGGACTGTTAACCACAAGGTTAGCTGTTCAAATCCACCGGCCACTCTTTGGAAACGCTATACAGAGTCACTATGAGTCACAGCAGACTCAGTGGTACTAACACCAAACAACAGCAAAGGAACGAAGGGTGTCCCTGATTACTACAATTGCAGAAGCCAGAGCTCTGAGACTCTTGCACATAAGAGAATCAATTCAAAGCTAGAAATGGGACCAAAAAGGTAGGCAGGAACAAGGTGTAAAAGCCCTTGTGGCTGTGCTGAAAGTCTAAGGATTTTATTCCATAGGCTATGTAATTCCCACTAAAGAATTTAAACAAAGAAACTAGAAATGATCTGATTTACATTTTAGACTGCTTTGCTGGGGGGTACTTGGAGGAAGGGAGGCAGTGATGGTGAACAGACCTGGGAGACGGCAGGTAGGGGAGATTGGCCAACACTGGAAGCAGAGTATCTGTGAGGAAGGTCTTAATGAACATGGAGGCAGGGACAGGTGTACAGCTAAGAGTTCTACAGGAAGTGTGCTCAGGCTGGGACCATCATGGAACAAGGAGATGAGAAGGGATGAGCAGCCGGTGTAGCCCTAACTGAATTCTGAACCTGTTTCCTCTGCAGAGCATTCAGGTGCAGCTAGATTCCAAGCTGCAGCTCAGGAGAGAGGTATGTTCTAGAAAAAAGTTTGTTGAGTCATCGATATGTGAAATTTAGTGATCACAAACCACCTTGAGATTCTGAAAAAAATCATGTCTTCACTTCTGACAAAAGGTCATAGCTGCATAACATTTTCATATAATTTTAGGTAGATTCATAGATGCCTTGATGCTCACCAGCTTAAGACTCCCCAGTTTAGGAGAGGGGGACAGACCAGGACTTATTGAACAAGGATCCCCAGAACAATTAGAAATGGCAATAGTGGGGGCATGCCGTGGAATTGTTACAACTCATAGGGACCCTGCATAGGGTTTCCGAGGCTGTAAATCCTCACCGGAGCAGAGAGCCTCATTTTCCTTCCATGGAGCAGCTAGAAGGTTTGAACCATTGACCTTAGAAGAGAATCACACAAAAAACTGATACCAAGAAAGAAGGCGGTTAGGTGTGACCTGGGCGAAGCTGGGGGCGCAGGTCCATTTGAGCTTAATCTTTAGCGTCATCTGCGACCACTGAAAACATCTATATAGGACAGAAACCTGGTCTTATTCCCACTGTACAAAGCTCATTTGGATTCCTAGATAATGTGGGGAAGAGAACAAAGATCCATTGATATCCTTCCAGATTTGTTTACTATACACAAACATGCTTTTGCACTGAATGCCCAACTTTCAACTCATGTTTTCATGTCCATTGTTTCCTCTATTTCTTTTCAACACTTTAGATAATCTATGTGGCAAGAAATGTCAAGGATAACCTGGTGTCCTATTACCATTTTCAAAGGATGAACAAAAGTCTCCCTGACCCAGGAAGTTGGGATGAGTATTTTGAAGCATTTTTGGCAGGCAAAGGTGAGCTAAGTAAATGAAACCAATTTCCCCCTATTTCTATAAAACAGGGGTTTGTTGTTATTGTTGTTAAGTGCCATCGAGTCGGTTCCAACTCATAGCAACCCTGTATAGAGCTTCTGAGGAGCAACTGGTGAGCTCGAACTGACGATCTTGTGGTTCAAGGCAACTTTGCAGTCCAGTGCATTAACCCATGGTGCCACACCAGGGCTCATAGAACAGGGGTGGGGAACGTTCTTTCTGCCACAATGTATATCATCATTTGTGGGCGATACAAACTTATCACCTTGAAAATTAGCGTACTATATTTGGTCAAACATTTAATTAACTCACTCCTAACATGATGGCTAAGGAGCTCTGGTAGCATAGTGGTTATGAATCAGGCTCCGAACCTTAAGGTCAGCAGTTCCAAACTACCAGCTGTTCCACGGGAGAAAGATGAGGCCTTCTGCTCCCATAAAGATTTACAGCCTCGGAAACCCTGTGCAGGGTCGCTATGAGTCGGTTCCGATTCCATGGCACATCACCACCACCACCACCACCACCATGATGGCTAGACCTGCGGTTCCCTTGGCAGAGTGGGACCATATAATTTCACGGCCTTATGCGGCCTCCAGGAGTCCTGGCACACTGGACCACAGTCATTCAAACCACAAGGCCTGTGGCTCAAGTTCACCAGCTGCTCCTTGGGAAACCCTATACAGGGTCGCTATGGGTCGAAACCGACTCGGCGGCACTTCACCACAACATGCAGCCTGCTGGCCATGCTGTCGGAGATGAAATTTCCCCTTAAACTCACCCACAGAAGGGGTTCGGAATGTCTATTGGGAAAGAACTATAGACAAGATCTCTGAGAGATGTGGCAAGGCCCCGTAGACAATCCGCTGCCCTCAGTACTGCTTAAAATCAGAGTGTCACATTGCCCCTTTTCAAATACGCTTTGAGAATAATCCATGACTGACTCTCATCGAGTCGCTTCCTAGTCGTAGGACCCTGCGTAGGATTTCTTCACAGCAGCAGAAAGTCTCCTTCTCCCATTCAGGGGTTAGGGATTCGTACCGCTGACCTTGAGGTGAGCAGCTCACCTCATAGCTCACTAAGTCACTATGTTATTGTTGTTAAGTGCCGTCGAGTTGGTTCTGACCCATAGCGACCCTGTACAGGGTTTCCGAGGCTATAAATCTTTATAGGAGCAGAAAGCCTCGTCTTTCTCCTGCGGAACCGCTGGTAGTCTTGAACTGCTGACCTTGAGGTTCGCAGCCCAATTCGTAACCACTATGCTACCAGAGCTCCTTAAATATACCTTCAAATATTTTACTAGTCTGATGGCTTCAGTAAAATCATTGTGGAATTCTAAAATGATGTCAGAATGCAGTTTGGGAAAAAAATAAACCACGAGGAAGTGACCTAGTTGAACAAATCAAGAGCTCGGAGGTTGTGTGGGGTTCGTGCTTGGCTGATTTAACAGATTCGATGCTGTGGTTAAGTGTCCTTCAGTCGATTCTGACTCATAGTGACCCAGTATAGGGTTTCTGAAGAACAGCTGGTGAACTTGAACCACTGGTGAACTTGAAATGCCAACCTTGCGGTTCAAACTGACCTTGCAGTCCAGCGCATTAACCCATAGCTCCACACCAGGATTAATAGATGGTTCTCCCTAAATCAGATGCTGAGGAGGAGGAGGAGAGGTAGTCCCAACTCTTTCCTGTGTGAGATAAGTTATGCACCAGTGAAGAGAAACAGACAGGTATTGACTTCAAAGCCTTGGAGGCTGCTGCTGTACACAGAGAGAAAGAGAGAAAGGGAGAAAGCCCAGAGAAGCAGATTCAGGGCTTCCACAGTTGAGGGTGGAGTAGGCATGGAATAGGAGCAGCTACTTGCACTTACTAAGCTCTTACTCTACGCTGTGAGCTGTCCTGAAACATTCTATCAGTTCAAGTTGCTTGAGATGGTCTGCCAACATGAAAATTAGTTCCACATCTAGGGTGGCTAACTGGCACATCTAGCCAGGGACTAAGGCATTCCTGAGACATGGGCTTTCAGTAATATACATGGATATGAGGTTATGGTGGTTAAGTACTGTGGAGTCCATTCCGACTCCTAGAGACCCTATACAGGGTTTCCGAGGCTGTAAATCTTTATGGGAGCAGAAAGCCTCATCTTTCTCCCATGGAATAGCTCATAGTTTTGAACTGCTGACTCTGAGGTTAGCAGCCCAATTTGTAACCACTATACTACCAGAGCTCTTTGTAAATGAATATGGCCCTAGACAACCCAGGATGGTATGCCAACAGAGAGCAACAGGTTAAACCACTATCCCCTAGTTGTTGGGAACAATCACTGGGAGGAATGGAGTATTCCTAGTCAGCTACCTTAGCATCACGCAGGCCCAGGGATGCTTCTCACCTCCTAGTCAGCCTCTGTCAGTGGAACAGAGGAAAGCAGAAATTTCCAGAGAGAGTCTGAAAAAGCAAGGGGCTAATTATTACTAAATTGTTAGTGTTATTTTCAAATAAGTATTGTCAGGCAACTAACATATCTGATGTACCATACAGTTTCTATCATACTGTGTCCTAAGCACTACCAGAATAATACACAATCATTTCATCCTGCCATTACTTCCCCATCTTAAAACAAAAAGAACCTGTCTACAGTGCTCCCCATCTGCCACCCCAGCCACTGCCCCCTTTCTTTCACTCTTGTTACTGAAAACACCTTGAAAGACTTACTGATGCTTGTCTCAACTTTCTCTCCTCTATTATCTCCCCACCACACCACCAAAATCGCACCTGTCAGGGTTACCGGTGACTTCCGCTGGTCCGTGCTCAGTCCTGCTCTTATTGGGCCCATCAGCCTCATTTAACAGAATCGATCGCTCACTCTCCCTTGAAAAACTCTCTTCATTGACTTCTTAGCCATCTCTCTCTCCTAATGTCTCTTCTACCTTCTCAGTCTCCTTTGCTGGGTCTGGTTTCTCTTTCTTTAACCCCAAGACCTCTAAACATCCCTTGGGTGATCTCAATCAGTCCCATGTATTCCAATGCAAGCTGTATGTTTTCTGGTTTTGTTAAATGTCCTTAAGTTGGTTCCAACTCATGGAGACCCTGTATAGGGTTACCAAGGCTGTAATATTTGCAGGAGCAGAAAGTTTCACCTTTCTCCTCCAGAGAGTCTAGAGGGCTCGAACCTCTAACCATGTGATTCACAGCCCAGGACTTATCCTCTAGAGCCACTGAACTCCCAAATCTATATGCTAATGACTCCCAAATTGAGAACCCTAATCCAAGACTCTATCCTGGAGTCCAGATTCATATACCAGATGTCTGTGAACACTCCACTTGGGTGTCTGTCTAAAAACATCTCATCGTTAGCAAGCTCAAATTGAAACTCATGATCTTTCCTCTAAAACTTCCTATTTCTGCAGGCTTTCCCATCTCCATTATTAATTTGCTCAGGTGCAAACTCTTTCAGTTATCTTGACGCTCTCTTTCTCACACGCCCCATCCAATCCATCAGCAAATCTGTGAAGTCTACCTTCAAAGTATATCCAGAACCTGACCACTCATCAACAGTTCTACAACCACCTGGTCCAAGTGGTCACTGTATCATCCCTAGATCACTGAACTAGCCTCTCTGTCTCTCAGCGTCAGTCCTGGCCAACCAACCATCTATTCTCAACACAGAAACCAGAGGAATTCTGTTAAAAGGAAAGTCAGACCACTTCACAAAACTTACCAGTGGTTTCCAAGTCCTTCCGGTGACCCGTCTCTGATTCTTCTCTCACTCTGAAACCCCTCACTCAGTCTGCCCTAGTCACACAGGTCTTCAAAGCCTATCCTAAATGCCTCCTTTGCCCAGGAATGCTCTTTCCTTCTCTTCTTCTCAAAGAGTCCTTTTCTGAGCAGCCTAACAAGATTTCAGAATCAACACACCCAACACTTGCCAGCTCCCTTGCCTGATTGATTTTTTTCCTAAAAGGAGAGGCCGACCACTACTGAATGATTAGTCACTGGAACCCTAATGAACAGCCGCATAACATTGTCTGATGTGCTGGAAGATGAGCCTGTAGGTTTGGAAGACACTCAAAATACGACTGGGAAAGTAGAGCTGACCCATAATGACATGAATGGAGCAAAGCTTTAGAGACCTTCATAAGTTGATGGGGCACAACTCAAAATGAGGAGAAACCAATGCAAACATCCATTAATAATAAGAACATGGAATGCATGAAGTATGAATCTAGGAAAATAGCTGTTGTTAAGTGCCATTCAAACTGGCCCTGACTCATAGTAACCCTGTATAGGGTTTCTGAGACTTTCAAACTTCGCAGGAGCAGAAAACTTCATCTTTCTCCCGAGGAGTGACTGGCAGGCTCAAATGGCCAACCTTGTGGTTCAAAGTCCAGTGCTTGTCTAAAAATTGTTTAAAATGAAATGGAATGCATAAGGTAGCTATCCTAGGCATTAGTGAGTTGAAATGAACAGGTATCGACCATTTTGAATCCGACAATCATATGGTTAACTAAGCCGGAAACAACAAATCGATGAGAAATGGCATCTTGTTCCTCAGCAAAAAGAACATCCCAAGTCTCCCTTGATGCTTCACTCTAGCCCCGCCTGCCTGAGGTCCAGCGTTTCTAGAAAGCACCCGAATGATGCCCTTGTTGCTGCTCCGCACACTGCATTTTGGGTAGTGGAGAACTAAAGACAGCTGAAGGAGATCTAGTGGCACAATGATCAAGGTTGGCTGCTAACTAAAAGGTCAGTGGTTTGAACCCACCAGTGGCTCCAAGGAAGGAAAGACCTGGCGACCTCCTCCTACACAGATTACAGTTGTCCTCTGTTCCATGGCACTGCTGTGAGTTGGAGACCACTGGACAGCCACAACAAGACAGGTGGGAGAGGTGGGAAGTTGGGAAACTCAAAAACAAAAAGACCCATCTTGAAGTATAATGCTGTCTGTAATAGCATAATATCCATATGTCTACCAGTTAATGCCATATTATTCAAACATATGTGCCAACCCCTAAAACCAGTGATGATGAAATGGAATAATTATATCAACTTCTTTGTCACAAATCGATTGATGCATTGATAATTACCAGTGATTGCAATACCAAAATTGGAAACAAAGAAAGGATCAGAAATTGGACAATATGAGTGTGGTGATAGAAATAATGCTGGAGATTGTATGATGGAATTTTGCAAGACCAAGGACTTCGTTACAAGTACCTTTTAAAAAACAACATAAAAGGTGACTATACACATAGACCTCTCCAAATGGAAAACACAGAAATCAAATTGACTACATCTGTGGGAAAAGAGCATGGGGAATCTCAACATTATCAGTCAAAACAAGGCCAGGGGCACACTGTGGGACAGACCATCAGTTGCTCATAAGCAAGCTCAGACTGAAGCAGAAGAAACTCCACAAGAGCCAAAATACGCCCTTAAATACATCCCATCTCAATTTGAAGATCAACCCAAGAATAGCTTTGATGCATTAGACATTAATGACCAAAGACAGAAGAGTCGTGGGATGACATCAAAAACATCATAAAGGAAGAAACCAAAAGGTCATTAAAAAGACAGGGGAAAAAAGAAAAGACAAAAATGGATGTCAGGAGAGACTCTGAAACTTGCTTTTGAGCATAGAGAAGCTAAAGCAAATGGAAAATATGTGAAGGTAAAAGAACACAACAGAAAATTTCAAAGGACAGCTTGAGAAGGCGCAATGAAATAGTATGATGAAATGTACAAAGACCAGAAGTTAGAAAAACAACAGGGAAAATTCTGCTCAGCATTCTAAAGCTGAAAGATCTGAAAAAATAATAATAATTAAACTTTGGCTTGCCATATTGAAAGATTATATTGAATGATGCACAAAGCATCAAAAAAAAAAGAAAGAAAAAAATGGTCAGTGTCCACCCATTTCAAGAGGTAGCCATAAGATCAAGAACTGATGTTACTCAAAGAAGTCCAAGCTACACTGAAAGCTCCATGGGAAAAGATGGCTCCAGGAACTGACGGAATACAAACTGAAACCTCTCAGCAAACTGATGCAGCGCTGGAGGCACTCAGTCATCCGTGCTAAGAAATTTGGAAAACCTTGACAACTGATTGGAAGAGATCCGTATTTATGCCCATTTCAAAGAGAGGTGGCTCAAAGGAAAGTGGATATAATCAAACAATATTATTAACAGCTCATGCAAGGAAAATCTTGCTGAAGATCATTCAGAAAGAGTTTCAACAGTACACTGACAGGAGACTCCCATTCACACCAGATTCACAAGAGGATAGAGCACAAGGGATGCCGTTGCTGACATCACATGGACCTTGGTAGAAAGCAGAGAATAGCAAAAATAAGTTTACTTGGGCTTTACTGACTTCGCAAAGGCTTTCAGCTTCATGGATCATGACAAACAGGATGGCACTGCATGAGTGGGTCCGGCAGAACACTTAGTCGTGCTCACAAAGAACCTGCGCACAGAGCCTGAGGCAGCCATTCAAACAGAACAAGGTGATACTGAATGGTTTAAAATCAGGAAAGGTGTGTGTGCTAGTCCAGCCTTCCACCATGAAATACGTTATTGTATGTACTTCAATCTGTACACTGAGAAAATAACCCAAGAGGCTGGAGTAAATGACAAAGAACGTGGTAGCAGGATTGGAGGAAGACTCATTACCAATCTCCCATATGCAGATGATGCAACTTTGCTGGCTGAAAGCAAAGAAGACTTAATACACTTGCTGAAGAAAATAAAAGAATACACCCTTCAATATGATTTGCACCTTAATGTAAAAAAAGAAAAAAATCCTCACCACTGGAGCAATAAATAGCATCATGATAAAAGGAGAAAAGATTGAACTTCTCAAAGACTTCATTTTGCTTGGATCCGCAATCAACAATCATGAAAGTATCAGCAGAGAAATCCAACGGCATATTGCATTAGATAAATCAGCTTCTGCACAAGACCTCTATAAAGTGTCCAAGAGCTAAATTGTCTGTTTAAACACTGAGCTGTCCCTGACTCAAACCATGGTATTTTCAACCACAACAAATGTGTGTGTAAATTGGACAATGAATAAGGAAAACTAGAAGAATCAAATGTACCATGAACTGCCAGAACAAACAGAGCTAGCTGTCTAGAAGGAGTGTGAGCAGAATGTTCCTTAGAAGCCTGGATGACGAGACTTTGTCTCCCTATCTGTATATGTTATCAGGAGGGACCAGTCCCGGGAAACAAACATCATGCTTGTTAAAGTGGAGGGTCAGTGAGAAAGAGGAAGACCCCCAATGAGACAGCTTGACATAGCAGCAAAAGCAATGGGCTCAAACCCAACAACCTCTGTGAGGACTGTGCACGACCAGGCGGTGTTTGGTCCTACTGTGCACAGGGTTGCTAGGAATCGGAATCTTCTTGATGGGACCTAACCACAACATAGCCAACACCCTCCCTCTCTGTTCTCTCATTTATTTTTTCTCCTAAAGCAGAGCCGTAGAAGGACTGTAGGGTAAGCACTGTCTGCTAATCTCAAGGTTGGAAGTTCAAGCCCACTAGTTGCCCTATAAGAGAAAGATGATGCTTTCTGCTCCCATGAAGTTTTATAGCCTCAGAAACCTTAGACCAGGTTGCTGTGAGTTGGAATCAGCTCAGTGGCATTGGGTAAAACAAGATTATGACCTAACACGTATTTTACTGTTTTATTTTGTTTGTCTCCCCTACAAAAACAGTACGTTCCATGAGCACAGGGCTTCTTCTCTGCCTTGCTCACTGTTCTATCTCTAGGACCTAAAAAGCTCTTAGCAAATAGTAAAATAAGAACATACTAAACGCATTGTCATCGAGTCAATTCTAATTCATGGTGACCCCATGTATTACACAGAACACTGCTCCACAGGGGTCTCTCAGTTGTGTCTTTAGGGAAGCACATCACAGACCATTCTTCCATGGTATGTTTGAATGGTCAGCCTTTCACATCATAGCAGAAAGGAACCATGTGCTCCACCCAGGGACATTTTAGGTCATAGCAGGCCCCATGGAATCAGTTATTATATATAAATACCATCTTACGCAATAGATGGGAGCACAGTGGCTCCATAGGATGAACACTGGATTGTAAACCACACTGGTAGTTCGAGCCCACCGGCCACTCCACAGGAGAAAGATGAGGCTTTCTGCTTCCACAAATATGTACAAGCCTCAGAAACCCTATGCAGGGTCACTATGAGTTGAAACTGACTCAACAGCACTTAACAACAAGACAACAACATGCAATAGATACTAGTAGTCCTCTTTCAAAAACGGGTATTAGAAATCCTGAAGTTCAAGGAGGTCAAATAACTTGCCCAAGGTTGCACAGCTATTAAGTTTCAGAGCTCAGATTCGAACCTAGGCAGTCTGACTTCACAGCCTGGAGCAGTGATTGTGCCTGCTTCCCAAAGAAAGGTCATGCTGGAAATGACAATGAAAAGCATGAAGACTAGAAAGGTTACCTCCCACACCTGCCGTTTGTACTCCAAGGAAACAACTCATCTTCTTCTTCTGGCTTTGTCTATTCTCAGCTTTTTATGACCCAAATTCTTTTGTGTCTTATTTCAGTATTATGGGGGTCCTGGTATGATCACGTGAAAGGCTGGTGGAGGAAGAAAGACAGTCACCCGATTCTCTATCTTTTCTATGAAGAAATGATCCAAGTAAGATAAATGTTTGGATTCTGGCTTTACAGTAATTTTTCTCAGAGTTTCAATTCCATTACAGAATGAAGGAAAGTGTGATAGAGAAAAATTGTCGAGACAAAGCACTTTGCAGGCCAACTTAGCTTCTTCTGGTGGTGACATGCTGTGGAGTCGGTTCCAACTCATAGCGACCCTGTACAGGGTTTCCAAGGCTGTAAATCTTTACAGGAGCAGAAAGCCTCATCTTTCTCCCATGGGACGGCTGGTAGTTTCGAACTGCTGACCTTGAGGTTATCAGCCCAACTCGTCATCACTACACTACCAGAGCTCCTTCTACTATCTTACTGTTTAACAAAGTAGCCTGTCTACTGCCCTCCCCACGAGATAGCTGCAAGTCCTTCTGCGCTCAAGGCCAATCCCCTCCTCGTCAGAAAGCACAGCTTTCCTCTTTGAGCTAGAAGTTGGCTCCCTTTCTGGGTCTTCAGGTCGCCCTTCCAGGATTATTTCCTCCCCAGATTCACTCTAACTTCAGAGAACTAGGAAACTTAGTAGGGAAAAACTAGTAAGAAAAAAAACCGCTGTTTTTGTTTGTTTTCTTTGAATATTAACATTAGTCATTTAAAATAAGTTTCCCATCAGTAACATCTTTTGCATGTGCGCAAAGTCTGTCTCATAGGTCAGTCTAACTATGGCCTCCTGGCATGGCACTGTAGGATCAGCACTGGGCTTTGAACCACACGGTCGGCAGTTCAAACCCACCAGCTGCTCCTCAGAACCCCTCTACAGGGTCGCTATGAGTTGGAACTGGCTCCACGGCACTTCACAACAACAAGGTGCTGGGTCCCATTCGCTGAGGTTGGATTTTTGCCTGGGTCACTACTCTCTCCTCCTGTCTTTCACTAAACATGTCATGCTCCTCCTTCTCATCTGCCCTCTGGGTCTGCAGAGAGAAAATACATTTCTTCTTTTCTCCCATAACATGGTTTGGGTCCACCCTTGCACTCTGCGGTTTCTCTAAGTGTCAGCCTGGGTGTCGTTCCCATTGCTATGTTGCCCTGAGACCCAGGGCTGGGGAGAATCTAGAAGTCAACAAGGACATACAGCCTGAAAGGCAGAGGAAGAGAGAGAAAGGAAGAGTGCACCTAGAGACCTGTAGATGGGGCAACTCATACCCCAAACAGGAAATCTCTTCTCTTACAAATGTGAAAGAGGCCTGAGGACTGGCAGGCAGGCTTGAAGCCAGGAGCAAACCCAGATCTAGAGAGTCAGACAGACACGGTCTTCCATGTGTGACCGTCCACTTTAAGAGCATCAAGGCAGCAAGTGAAAGGGAAGCGCCATGGCCTTCTGAACTAGGTGAGAGCAACATGGACTCCACTTGTGGTATAGTTCTCAAATCAGAAGAGAAATCTGGTTCATTTTGAAAAAGAACCAACTCTTCTCCCAAATACTTTATCTGCTAGCTGGGAGGGTCAAGGAAAAGAATAAAGTTCAGTGATGAAACCCAATTAGTAGTAGCTATAGCAATAATGAAATGTTTTCTTAATATAAACGCACTTAAAATTGACATGTTTACTGAATTGATGCTGATTAATGAACACATAATATTAAACATAATGTTTCTAAATTAACTTCTTCTATCATAGACTAACAGGCTTTTGAAAATGGTGGTTTAAAAGGTTTTAATCATTATCATAGTTTGTTTCAGATTTGACGGTTGCTACAAGGCCAGGGGCAGACTGTGGAACAGACCATCCATTACTCATATGCAAATTCAAACTGAAGCTGAAGCAAATGAAAATAAGTCCACGAGAGCCAAAATATGACCTTGACTATATCCCACCTGAATTTAGAAATCACCTCAAGAACAGATTTGATACATTAAACACAAAAGACCAAAGACCAGAAGAGTTGTGGAAAGAACATCATACATGAAGAAAGCAAAAACTCATGAGAAGATAAAAAAGAAGGAAAAGGTCAAAATAGATGTCAGAAGAGACACAGAAATTTGCTCTCCAGCGTAGAGGTGCTAAAGCAAATAGAAGAAAGCAGGAGGTACAAGAGCTGGACAGAAAATTTCAAAGATCAGCTTGAGAAGATAAAACCAAATATTACAACAAAATGTGCAAAGATCTGGAATCAGAAAACCAAAAAGGAAGAACATGCTCAGCATTTCTCAAGCTG